CAGGCTTGGGTAGATGGGCCGGGGTGATGTATATGCTGGGGTCATAGGTGGATGGCAGTATGTGGATGTGATTGAGGTAGGCAGGAGATGTTTGGTCATTGGGGTCTGAAGGTGGAGCTATCGTCCGATTGTCGATGAGATTTTGGACCTCATGACGAAGGCGGTAGCAACGGTCGGTGCCATGACCGCGCTGTTGATGGTACATACAGTACTTGGCGGGGTTATGTCTGGCTGAGAGTGGGTCAGGCAGAGGTTGAGGATCGAGGGATTTGAAATGCCCTCTTTCCATCAGGACTTTTAGTGCGCTAGTCAGGCTCATATAGAGAGGGGTGAAAATTCTGCCCTGAGCTCGGGCTGGGCTGGCTGGTTGTAGGCTTGGTTTGGCAAAAGGGTCGGCTGTGGAAAGGTCACTCCGAATCTACTCCATTTTTGAGATCTACATGTCTGAATTTTAGCATGTAAACTCAATAATTTCCTCTGCAACTTAGAGAAACTCCATGTTGGTTCATTTCGGCTTACACTGGTGCATTATCTCACTTTCAACTGACCTCAACTCATCCGAACTTCAAAACCTAGTGCAACTTATTTCAACCTTACTCAGTATTCAAGGACGGAATCGGGATTCATACATTGAGGGGGCTAGCACAAGGCACATATATATGTTATGGGTTAGATTAAGCAATGGTGGTTTTAAGCTATTAATATTTTGTAAACTCTTAACAGGGCATGTTCGGTTGCCAGATTATTTTTTATAAAATTAAATATAAACGAAGTTATTGATAGGATTGATGATGAGTTACATAATCGGGTTAGGTGGGACAAATAATTGGATATATGATGAGATTATGAGATAGCTAAGAAGCACGGACACAGACACTGACACATGACATGACATGGACACACAAATTTTCAAAAAATAGGGGACACGACACGCTGAGGACATGCTCAAAATATATAATTTTATTTATTTATTATGTCATAAATTTTTTTTAAAAAAAAATTGGTAAGTAATACAAATTACAAAATAACATAAACAAATATTTTAAAATATATATAGCTATTCATCAATTTCAGCACTTTACCTAATAAAAA